TTGGTGGTCTATCTCACCCTCCTCTGCTGACTCAGTGTTAGGTTACAGAGATCTGATCTGGGTTCCCCCTTCCCTGCAGACTAGCGCAGGTCTGGGCCACACACACTGCCACCATGTGGTCAAAGTCAGCCACGTTTAACAAGGTAGCAGTTAAAGGAATTACTCTCCACTTCAATATACTTTAGTATCATTAACTAAATTCATAGTTAATTTAGTATCATTAACTAAAATTCATAGGTGTGAAATAACAGACCTCCATAACAAACAGGCATAAAATAAAATCCTAATCCCCAAACACAGGCACAAACTGGTGTCAGATTTTGGGTTAAATTTGGTTTCAATCGGTCCAATCCTATCACACTGCCTGGTCTATGCTTGGATTCATAGTTTCAACTCAGTTTCATAAACACCACTACAGTCCAGTGAACCTGTGGTGATGTTGATGTGATCTGTGTCTGACTGCCTTGTGTGGCAGCCAGGGCAAGGCTGTGGTGCATAAATGACTTCACTGAATTGTCACCCGTGACTACTGTCTGTAAATGCCAGACTTAGAGTTTTAACCATGGGAAATCTGCCAAAGTACCACGCAAATCCCTCAAAAGTATTTCTGACTCAAGACAAATATAATTTTCCTCTATCTGGTCTGGAAGTTCACTCACTTTATATTGTTCAAAATTTAGAATTTGAAGAAGGCATCTTGATTGGATTTATTCAGATAAAATAGTCAACTGAGCTACAAGAGTCCAGTTACTTGAGATTTTATTTTCTAAGAAGTGACGTAACCGCCCGTCTCAGGCGTGAACAAGCCAGGAGCCAGGAGCACACATTACCCGGTAAAGCTGCAGAGAAGCCTTGAGACCCGAGAGAGTGGCCCTGGGTGGAGGGGTGAGGTCAGCAACTTCTGTGACATTATACAACCAGCAGATCAGCTCTTCCAGCTGACAGCAAAATGTCTGTGGAGACAGAGCACACGGTGGGCTGGACAGAGCTCAGTGATTAAGTCTGTCTACCATGCTCAGGGCCTAGTACCACAAAAACAATGTCCACATGGTGCACCTGAGTGAGCTGCTGTTTACCTTGTCTGAAGGCTAGAAATATCACCATTTTGGCATACAGATACCTTTCTCGAGTTTTCTCTCACAGGGTCATTTGTCTCCACCTCTACCCCATGACTCCAGACATCCCCTGTCAGGACAATGAATGCCATACTCAGCCAGGTGTGACACCAAAAACCAAGACTCAGAATACACAGTCCGGAGGGTGAGAATGGACTATGGAGGAACAGGGACAAGGAGCAGCCCAGAAGAGCACGCTCGCCACACGAGCCAGTTTTTGGATCAGGACCGTAGTGGGCAGCTGTTTCAGCTTTGCCCTGGAAGTACCACCCCCAGTGAGGCTTCCGGTAACTGTCACGCCTACGAGGCGGGGCTGAGAGGAGCCATTAAGACCCGAGATCTGGATGTGCCAGCTCTCTTGGTTCCTGGACCCTGGACGCTGGAGGTGGACCGAGCAGAGTTCTCCAGGGAACACTGCTGGACTGTGCTTCACCTTTCCTGGACCCTGTAACCCATCCCTTCACTTGTGAGTTACCCCACAAAATAAACCTCCCTTTTAACTACGTGGAGTGGCCTTAATATTTCCACCAATACAGGACTGTTGCCAACCACTAAACTTTCTATTCAGAAATGATGAATGAGTGGTTCTAACTACCTGCACCACAGTGAAAAAGTATGTGCATCAACTTCCCATTGGTGCTACATGTGACCCAACTTCTCTGCCATTTTCTTACAGCCATTAAAGGAGAATCCCTGTATTTTGGGAGTGTGTGTGCTGGGGATGTTGAGCCATGCTGTTGGTGGACTGGGGAAAGAACGTTTATTCCAGAAGCTTCTCACTGAGCATCTTTACCTGCACACACTGCACCAGTGACGCTCTCTCCTGTCCTGTGTTCCTGGGAAGCTTCTCTCCAGCGACTGGCTCTGAGAACAGCCACCTGTCTGATGCAGCCAGCAAGGAGGGCTGAGTTCTCGGCAGTCCAGAAGAGACCCTGAGGGCCTGGCTGCTCATCATGCTGCGTTTGCCTGTGGAGTCCTCAGGATGGACAGAGTTCACGCAGCAGGGGTTCTGGACCACAGGCCCTGGGAAGGCAGCATCAGAAGGATGCTGCCTCTGGCTGGAGTCCAGTGTGGGGGACACTGGCCCATCACTGTCGGAGACTTCCAGTGAACTGTGCTCCTCAGCAGCCCCAGTGGGCAGGTTCACAAAGGTGGGAACGGCACCTAAGCTGGACACCAAACTAGACACCGGAGTCAGCCTGGTGGGCAGGGCAAGGTACTCATCATCACTTCCCATCTCTTCTTCTGATGTCCACCCAGGCTTCACACAGGAGGGATGCCCAACATTCTGGCAGGCTCTCTGCTCCCTTTCTAGTCTGGCAAAGGGTGACCCCCTCTCCTTTGTCCTCAGCTGGGGAGAGCCCACAGTGAGTTTCTTGCCTGTAGGTAGAGAGTCCTTTGTGTCCCTCCGGGCTGCCTCTCTCTTCTCCCGGGAAGCATTCTCAGTGCCAGAGGCTCTAGGGGTTGATGCATGCTGGTTCCAAGATGCCAGGCTTATGCTGTCCTGCTTCTGGGATACTCCCAAGGGCCAACGCTTCAGGCACGGGTCCTTGGCTCCAGAAAAGGGCAGAGCAGGCACTTCTGCTGATAAGCAGTTGTGGGAGATATTAGTGGGGGACTTGAGAGTGCTCGCTGGGGAGACGGAAAAGCTGTCCAGATCTACACCTGAGTCCTGCATGACAGGATCAGCCAGCACATGATGCTCCAGTTGCTTTGGGAGCTGAGGCCCAGGCCTCAGTGGGTAAGTGTAGTCAAGGAGATCTTCATACTCTTTATTTGGGTTCCAGAGCGGGGAGTGGCGGTTAGGAGAGGGAGGCAGAGAATTTGGCAGCACACAGGCCCAGTACTCTGCCTGGAAGGAGAGTTGTCTCTTACCCAGGCCGGTAGCCTCACCCCCAGGAGTCACAGGCTGTGGTGACCACAGGGGCTGAGGCCCTGTCGCCACCACAGAGGGGGCTCCTTGAGGTACAATCAACTCCTGAGAGGAGACCTTGGCAAAGGCGCTACTTTGAGGCTCTGCCTTCTCTTGGTGATCCTGGAGGCTGGTGCGCATTGAGGAGGCAGAGATGCTTCTGCCAGAGAGCTGGGGAGCACCTGGGCTCTCCATGGACTTCCCCTGTGAGATGTGAAGCTGCTGGCTGAGGCCCAGCACCCGAGGTGAATCAACTGGGGACAGGTCGTCTTCACTGTCCGCATCATGCCCTGAGCAAACAGTTATAGTTCCAAGGACTTTAACCCTCTGAAGTAGGTCCTGGGAGGCAGGAAGCTTGTTTTCCTCCATCTACAATAACAAGGGAAAAGGCACTGAGGTGGAAATAGGCAAACTTTCTTTTTAAAGAACAGTTTTCTTCTTTAAGGTAGAGGAAGGGAGTGGGGTAGGTCTCAATGAAAACAAAGTAGGCCTAAGGATCCTACGGCCAAACCTCCTACTAAGCACACTTATCTAAGAAAACGAAGGAAGGAAGGAAGGAAGACAGATGGCTACAAGATGTGCTTGTGTGTCCAGAACAGTATTCAGGCAAGATCTCAGGTTCCTGCTGCTAGTAGTTAGTACCAAGACCCATCCTACCCTGGGAAATCTGCAACTGACCCCGAACCCATCTTTTCAAAAGTTATCCATTCACTTTGAGAGCAGAACCCACGACAGTTATGCAGGCAGAAGCTGGGAATCAATGCCTCTCCTTTCATCATCCCCGCCCATCATCACCACTGACAGGAGATCCAGCAGGCTCCATCAGGGGGCACCCTGTTCAGCTCACGTGCCAGTGCACTCTGGCAAAGTGAGTCCCTCAGTTTCTTTACTCTGGATTTTTAATCTCAGTGAGTAACTCAGCCCAGAGGAAGACAATAACTAACATGAGGACTTCGGAACCAGACTGACCCGAGTTAACGAACTGTTTGTCCCGCCTTCCCTGCCCTGTGGACACAGCACCAGCACGGCCTCCCCAAGGACTCCCTGAGAAGACACTAAGAGCCCCTCACTAGCAGACAAGAGAACAGAACCCACAGCCTCTCTCGACAAACGGCCACTGCTGGGCTTGCTGGTTTGCTTCTCGACCCAACAAACAGGACTAGAGGAGCCAGAGCCCTCCTTGACCCTCGCTTTCCACAGGGGGCTGGGTACTGTTCCCTCCCAGTCACGCTCAGGCCTTCTCACAGGACGGGGCTCCCGGAAGAGAGCAAGCAGCAGCCAAAGAACAAAGCGCCAACCAAAGCTGTCCCTGGACCTTGACAGGCTGAACATGATGTTGTCAGAGCCAAGAGGAGCAGACCAATGGTCATCCTCCCTCTACAAGGGATTCAAAGAGTCAGAGACTTAGAACAAGGCAGGATTCTCTGCCTGTGTGGCTCTCCCTGGAGAGACTGCTGCCTTGTGGTCTCCAGTCATGGAGGCCAGAGATACTGCTGCTCATTAAAGGAGCTTCAGGGTCTGAGCAGTCCCAAGAGGATTTGGCCTGGGAACCCCCAGACCTCTACCAAGTCTCCCTAGGGTCCCCTAGAAGCTTTCAGATCACCAAATCAGAAGCAGGATGGGGGTCCCCTTGTTAAGAGATCCCTGATCCTAGTCCTCTGGGCAGCAGGCTCCTGATGAACTCTCACTGTCCTTAAGAGGTCCCCAGTGACTCTGGAACAGGAGATCCTGCACAGAACCCCCTGCAGACTTCAAGGCCCAACTCTCCAAGGGAACCTGTTAAACACCTTGTAGCCAGGGTCCCACAACTCTCACCTTACAGTGACAGGCAGGGGAACGAACAGTCAAGGGAATACAGTACATACCCAAAGGCTGCCCTGGCTCAGTTCCAGCCTCAACTCCTCAGTACTTACGTGGCTCCCCCCAGAGAGATGAAAGTCTCCAGTCTCCATGCTGGCAGAAGGAAGTGGGCCATTGAGGGCAGGCTCAGACCTGTGTACCACCGGTTCTCGGTTGGCAGTGTTGGTCTCTGATAAGAAAACTCCAGAGATGCAGCAGGTATCAGCCTCAGCCCTCCACAGCGGCCCTCCCTTGACTTCCAGATGCGGGGGCTGCTGTGGCTCAGGCCCTGGGGGCAGCAGCTCCTGTTCCCCAGAATTCCACCTGCCACAGGACGGGACCTTCGTGTTGACAGATGCGTCTGCCTCGGCCACATCTTCACCTAGGGCCATGGAGCCTTCCCTAAATTGGCTTTTCCTTGAAGCCTTCAGGAACCTACAAAACAAGGAAAGGAGAGAGAAAAAGAAATTTTCTTCATGTGTCCAGGAAAACATTGATTTTAAGTGAAGACAAACTTCACTGGCCAAAGGAAATCCCACGTTCTTGCTTCTCCTCAGCCCAGATCCTTCCAAAAAGGGTGCCTTAGTACACGACTTTGTCCTCTGTCACTGTGGTATTGTCTCCTTAGAGTCAGGACAGGTGTGACCACGCAAAAGGTTTGGCCAGCCTACTGCACAAGTCAAAAAAAAACAGGCAACAGAAGAAAAAAAGTATTATAAACCTGCTGATCTGGGTGGAAGACGCAGATTCCAAGGCCATCTTCCATGCCTGGAGCTGAAGGGAGAGGAGGTATGCATGGGGGAAGGAAGGGCGAGTGCAGGCCAGTGGGTGCCTTCTCCCGGGTGGAGGTCTGTGATTAAAGACACACTTGATCCCACTGCCTGCTCAGGAGATGCTTTTCAGTTCTGCAAATCTCCGAACAGGTCATTGTTTCCTAGGGCCATTCTGCTCGCTGATTAGTTTCCCATTGCTGTTCTGGATATTACGCATGGACAGCCTGGAGAGAGAAGCTACACAAAGCCCTCTTGTGGTTACCAAACTCACGCAGGGGAAATGAAATGGGCCTGAGCACAAGGCCTTGCCTCAGTGTGCAGCCCAGATGCGGTTCAGAGACACCCCTGGGCCCTATGTGTTGCCCCAACCTCACTAAGATGCCCAGCTGGTCTTTGCCATGCACAGCCCTCTGGGGTGCTCTCATGTCAACGGCTTGGTGGGTAACAACTTGAGTCTCGTCCCTTTTACCCTACAGGATAGCACGTTCAGGTATGCATGGGCTTCTACTGGACTCTGGAGGATGCTCCTAACTATTCTTGGTGGGAACAGGAACCACACCCAGACTGTGGACCAGATGGAGCCCCAATGACGATTCATTGGTGACCAATGACCAGAAACAGACCAGCACCCCTTCTCAGGCTGCCTTAGTGTAAGCTGACCTTGGCAGCCTCAGGAAGCCATGGAAAGCGTGTGACAGCGGGTGAGTTCATGTGAGAAAGGAGAGCAGCCCAGGCAGTCATGGTGAGGGAGCTGAGCTGCTGGGGAAGGAAGGAAGGAAAGCCCGACAGGAATTCTGGATCTACAGAGCGCTCCAGGACAACAGAGGGATGCTAGGCTGCCATCAGCAGGTCTGGGCACTGGTGGGATGACAGGGGGATGTCTAACCTGGCAGGAAGCCACCTGCAGAGCACTGGGACCAACCTCAAGACTCAAACCTGCACAGGCACAGCCTTATTTCCCTCAGAGACTAGCACGGATAAGGAGGTTGCGAGTGGCAACCCAGGAAGCTGGCAAGGAGGGTAGGAGTGGCCACGTCAGGCCATCCTGTTCGGCTTTAGTCCAGGAAATGCAACCCAGGTAGACCTCACATTTCTACTCCTTCCCAACCCGGCACATGGGGCTCCAGGCCATTCTGAAGTGTCTGCAGAGAAAAGCATGGACTTGAAATGCAATCAGCTCACTCTTGGAAGCACCGGATCCTTGAGGGGCTAGTCAGACCCTGCCTGTTTCCTTTTTCTGGTAGAAAGAGCACCCAACCCTTCACATAACAAGCGAAGTCTTCACCACTGAACAGTCCCACACACAGTGGGCAGGCAGTTCAAGCAGTTGTGCAGGCCAGCAGTGCTGCTGTTTCTGTGTGTGACTCCTATCACACGACACACATGCACCTTTACTATAAAAGTGCCCAACAGGGCAGGGCATAGCATTCAAAACCTTGTATTCCCCTCACTCCCCCAAAAGAGAACAGCACTAGGGATTGACCCTAGAATCCTCAGAGCTCATCTGGAGACCTAAGGGCAGCACAGTTACTGCTATCCTCATCAAAGAGCAGCCCTCCTGTTAGAGCAAAGCCGTCTTCTTCAACCACGATGGACACCCACAGTACAGAGAAGAAGAAAGGGGGCACCTGCCTGACCAGCCAGAGCCACTCCATCAGCTCTGGCTGTCAACGGGTGACGGATAAAGGCAGACTAGATTGCCCTCACAGCCCAAACCTAGAATCGTGTGCATGCTATGGAGTCAGGGTCAGCTGTGTGACTCCAGAACCCAAGCTCTTGATGAACCAAACAAGGATAAGTGAGGAAACAAGCCAAAGGCGCCCAGAGCAGAAGAGGGTGGAGAACGGGAGGGAGACTTTGATGAGAAGTTTCCATGGAGCCACATCCTCACCTTGGGGCTCTTCACAGCTGCACACATTACTTATTTTTGTGTGTGTGCATGTGTCTGTGTGAGAGTGTGTGCATGTATATGCATGGCCCACAGAAGCCAGAAGACATCAGATCTCCTGGAACTGGAGTTACAGGCTGCTTGACAAGGGTCCTCTGGAAGATCAGTGAGCAAACTGCTGACCCATCCCATCTCTCCAGCTCCGGCACCAGTTTTGGATGACTACAGCTGACCCTATCAGATGGACAATTTAGGATGAAGACAACCTATCTATCATTTTCTGGTTGCTACTTCTTTCTCCATTTCTATAAACTCTCAATGGTCACAGCTCCCTTATGCCCCTAACAAGAATGGTGTTAAGACTTGGTCCTGCAGTAAAATAAAGCTGAGCAAGGCAAGGATCAAATACCTAAAAAAAAAAAAAAAAAAGGTATTTATTTATTCCTGCAGTATGAATGCGAGCCGATGCGTATGCCATGCCATGCCGTACATGGAGGTCAGAGAACAATTTGTAAGAGTCTGCTCTCTCCAGTTACCATGTTCCAGGGATAAAGCTCAAGTCATCAGGCTTGACAGCAAACACCTGACCAGCCATCTCAACAGCCCTACTTTGTTTCAGTGACAAGTTGTTAAAATTTCTGTCTTGCCTGGAGGTCATTATTCACAAAAGGTTTCACACTCGTCCTAGGGAGGGCAGCATGGAGAGCTACTGTAGCTCTCAAAGACTGCCGAGTGAACCTCCAAGTAGCCTGCAAGGAGGCTGAATCCTGAACTAGGGTAACTAAGCGGCCAGAGGCCCTCGTTATCCAGGTGTGGTGATTTGATTGAGAATGGCCCTCACAGCTGTATGTGAATGCTTGGTCCCTAGTTGGTATAACTGCTTGGGAAGGATCAGGAGGAAGAGTGTCGCTGGAGGTGGGCTCTGAGGTTTCAAAAGTCCACGCCAGGCCCCGTCTCACTCTGCCTCCAATTTGTGGTTCGGATGTAGCTCTCAGCTCCTGCTCCAGTGCCTGCCTGCCTGCCACCATGCTTCCCACCGTGACAGTCACGGATGCACGACTCAAACAGCAAACAGCCATCAATTAAACGCTCTTTTCCAAGTTGCCTTAGCTGTCATAGAGTCTCTTCATAGCAACAGAACAGTAACTGAGACACCAGGTGAAGCTGAAATTTGGAGCTTCTGGCCTACACACACACACACACACACACACACACACACACGTGCATGCGCATGCACATATGTACACTTAAATATCTGAAAATCAACACTTTAAAAATGTCTATCCCAGTCAGGCATGGTGTTACACACCTTTAATCCCAGCACTCAGGAGGCAGAGGCTGGTGGATCTCTGTCAGTTCAAGGTCAGTCTGGTCTACAAGTAAGTTCCAGGACAGCCAAGACTACAGAGAAACTCTGTCTGGAAAAACCAAAAACAATTCTAACACTGCTTAAACATGTAACTGCTAGGAGCTGCAGAGATGGCTCTGTGGTGAAGAGCACTGACTACTCTTCCAGAGCACCCGGGTTTGATTCCTAGCATCTACATGATGGCTCACAACCATCTGTAACTCCAGTCCCAGGGATCTGATTTTGTGTGTGTGTGTGTGTGTGTGTGTGTGTGTGTAACAGCTGTTTCTCTTCTGAAACTCAGCAAATTTGCAAGCTCCTGTATAATAAAACACAAAGTTACATACTTCCAGTATACAATGGTATATAATATATATTCCCAAAGGGAAGAATTGGGGGACAGCAAGGAATAAGACCAAAGCAAGATCAAATACAGCAGAGCAAACACCAACTGTTGCAGCTAGCTTCATGGGAGCTGGTATCTGGACCCATCATGAAATACTTAAGGGTTCCAAAGGCTTAGGTAGCCCTGTCCTCCAGATGCCTACCTAGCCTCTCTCTTGAGTAGGCTCCAGTCCACACATGCAGCTTTCCTCTGCAGGTGTACTATGATCTTGGCCACTGCCAGCACAGAAAATAAACAATGAAATCTGTCCCTCTTTCTGAGAAAGGCCTGTACAACACAGAACTGCTAACTGAGGGACCACCCACCCATGCTTTGGCATCTTCCAGAGCCCTCTAAAATTCACTATTAAGCCCCTCCATGAGTTCCCAGAACCTGCAGAGGCTAGGAGTGACCAAGTGGCTTTCTGTTGTCCCACAGTAAAACTATGTTCAGCGCCATGTGTATGTTAACACCAGGGGGCACCTGGTCTTTCCTGGTATCTGCTACATCGCCCTCCAGCAAGCTTGTCCCAGCTGTCTAGTTCCTTCCCCCACATTCCTGTTCAGAGCACCTAGGAGAGGACTGGCAGTGGGGGAGGGGCACTGTGTCACTTCTGACTTACTCAGACGGATGAGTGATTCACCAAGAGCAAGTCTCTCAAACAGAAAAAATCTGCAATGATTCTTGACGTCACAGTTCCCTTGGAAACAACTGCAGTCAGCAGCAGTCCCACTTTGACAAGTGCTGTCCCCACCCGCGGCCACTGACAGCCAGCTGTGCTTTCTTTCGGTCTAGGGCCTCGACCATGAACTGCACAGGACTCACGGGTACAGAGAGAAATGCCCAAATACCCAGGCAGACCGTGTCTAACAAGCAAGAATGGGGAAAGGAATGGGTGCAAGAACTGAACGCGGGAGGACGCGTGGCCTCAAGGTTTCTGAGTGGAAGTAGAGGCCAAGTGAGGCAGGATGGCAGCATGGAAGAGAGCAGACCTGGGATGACAAGAGAAGACAGGCTTGAGATGGCCCTGAGGCTGGCTGGCTGCGTGCAGGGTGGATACCAGCAAAACTGTGGCCACAGATTTTAAAAAAAGGAGAGGGTGGAGGCCGGGCGGTGGTGGCGCACACCTTTAATCCCAGCACTCAGGAGGCAGAGCTAGGTAGATCTCTGTGAGTTCGAGGCCAGCCTGGTCTACAGAGTGAGATCCAGGAAAGGCATCGAAACTACACAGAGAAACCCTTTCGAAAAACAAAACAAAAAAAAAGAGAAAGAGAGAGAGAGAGAGAGAGAGAGAGAGAGAGAGAGAGAGAGAGAGAGAGAGAGAGACAGGTGACCAGTGGTCAAAAGCAGCTGCTTTCCAGCTGTTCCCTCCCTGGCTGCAGGTGTAGAATCCCCAGGGCTCTAGCTTGGCTATCATTCCCCAGGGGTAGATGACCTGGGGCCCTGCAGACAAACTCAAAGTGTGATTATGGTGTCTCCTGTGGCATGTCAATGGATCACATCCTCTCCAGGACCCTGAGGCATCATTGTATCTACTCCCTTCTTCCTCCTGGACTGCTTCTTTACATTTTTCTTAACCTGTGGTCTCTACAGATCACTGTGCTGGGGAGGCCAGGGGTCAGGCGACTTGAGTGCCTATCCTCACTTTCTCAGACACCTACTTGCCTGTTGGCTGGCAGACTAGGATCACCAAACAGTCTCATAGCAAGGTCAATGTCCTATCTCATCAGAACTCTGCAGATGGCTCTGGAGATCTATAAGGAGCTTGGCTGAGCTCTGACTAGCCCTCAAGCCTAAGCTCTCCAGCCTCAGCAGTCAGCAGACTGTCTCTGTCCAGCAAGTCAAACACACGGACACTGAGGGCTGACCACCTGATCACCAGGTTCAAGCTCTGCCCCTGGGGTCCAGAGCAGGAACTGCTGTCCTGGAACACAAGCTGCTTCTGCTGTTAGCAGTTTCACAGGACCGATGGATAACATCAGGCTTCTGCGATCACAGCACCAAGTTAAGGGGCGAGGCAAGATGATTCAACTGGTAAGGGCACCTGTCACCAAGCCCTGGGACCCAAACGGAGGAGAGAACCGCTCTCACAAACTGTCTTCTGACCACCACACGCACGTGTGCCAACTCCGACCCCACACAAACTAAAGGCTGATGTGATGGCAATTCCTGGGGAGAGCTGGGGTGAGGGATAGATATGATCAACATACTCTGTACATACACATGAAATTTTCCTTCTTAAAATTTATTTTAGAGGTTTTACGAGTATTTTGCTTGAATGTATGCCTGTGCATCACATGTATGTAGTACCTACAGAAGCCAGAAGAGGGTTGGATCCCCTGGGACTGGAGCTGCAGACAGTTGTGAGATACCATGTGGGTGTCGGGAGCTGAACTCTTTTAGAAGAGCAGCCAGTGCATGTAACTGCTAAGCCATCTCTCCAGCCCCTATATGAAAGTTTCAAAAAACTGAAAATTGAAAAAAGCCTCAGCCTTGTGACTCCGTGATGGTGCACTGGCGGTGCCTTGACACGGGCAGGCAGTGGTGGTCCAGGGCCCGGTGCACACTTGCAGTCTCTTCACATTGCAACAGAGGCCCCAGGAAAGGGCCTGGGCCATACAAGGACAGCTGCAGGGGTGATGGCAAGGGAAGGTGACTACCATGTGTAGTGTTTGCAGGACTGAAGCTTGGAACAGTTCACATGCCCTACCACTGCCAGGAGAGGAGACCCCAGAGCTGAAGTCTAATGGGGAAGAGCGACAGGCTGCCAGGGTCATGGGCTGTGGCTGCTAAAAACCTGCTGAGGTCTTCATCTTGGCCCACTAGACAAGATGTGGGGCATGCAAGAGCTCACAGAGTACACGCCCAGAAGGGTCCTGACCCAGGAGACCAGTGGCTTTGTTTTTCAAGACAGGGGCTCACTAGCCTTAGATGGCCTGGAACTCATTATGTAGATCAGGTTGGCCTTGAACTAGAGATCCACCTGCCTCTGCCTGCTGGGATTAAGGGCGTGTACATACTATTAAGAATGGCACTCACAGGCTGGAGGGATGGCTCAGTGGCTGCTCTTGCAGAGGACCCGGGTTCAATTCCCAGCACCAACATGGCAAACTCCAGTTCCAAGAGATCTGGCACCCTCACACAGACACCAATGCACACAAAATAAAATAAATCTTTTTAAAAAAGGCACTCACAGTATCAAGCATCCTGTTTGCAGACTCCCCAAGAGATTGCCAACAGAAACGCTGTTTCTCCTGAGCAGCAGCCACTTCCTATTTTCTTTTTAAAAGACTTGTTTTCATTTTAAATATATGGCTGTTTTGCTCCCATGTATGTCTGTGTATGTGGTA